ATTATTCAATTCTGTTTCAGGTATATCTAGGCGAGCAATATGTAAACAATCCTACATTGTCTGATGTGACATTTTTAGTTGAAGGCGAGTACATGTTTCCAAGATTCTCTCAAGTGCTTTCCATGCATGCTTCCCTAGCCTAATTTTCTTAACTTTTCATTTTTGATTGATTATCAGGGAATCGATTCTATGCTCACAGAATCTGTTTGCTTGCTTCATCCGATGCATTTCGAGCTATGTTTGACGGTGGTTATCGGGTGAGCAAATATGTTTGAGTTTGGATTATGTCTCATGGCCTCCTACTCGATTATAGAACATATAACCACCTATGTTTCACCTTTACGAAGATGTCCTTTGGCATATATCATTCTTCGTAGACATATAATCAGCTAAACGATGTGCATATGTTTCCCTTGTGGAGTCTATTAGTTTGCTATGCAGAATTGAACTTTCGTCTTAATGGTTCACGGCTCAAACTATAAAGCTTATGTAACGACTTCATGCATGAACAGGACATCATTTTAGCTCTGAATGGCTTTGTCTAGGAAGCATGAAGTTTATGAAACTCGATCTAAGATCGAGGAATTCGATATGATCGTTTTCGTTAAGTTAATAATAATTTATGCAAAATATTGCAGGAGAGAGATGCCAAAGACATTGAGATTCCTAATATCAGATGGGATGTTTTTGAGCTGATGATGAGGTGAATTTTGCAATTATTATTTTTTTTTCCTCTCCTTTTGCTATTGTATGGCGTTTATAAATCTATTAAGTACTCGTTTCAGCAAATGATGAACTTTGGGTTATTATTTATCTCTGCAGATATATCTACACAGGATCTGTTGATGTCAACTTAGATATCGCACAGGATCTACTAAGGGCTGCTGATCAGTATCTGTTAGAGGGTCTAAAGCGCCTCTGTGAATATGCCATGGCACAGGTGGGGTGCACATGAAAAGATGGTTTTGATATTCACATTGTAATAAAAAAGAAAAACTTCAATTGTTTATTTATAATTTGTTCTTTGTTCTATAGGACATATCGGTGGAGAACGTGTCTCTCATGTTTGAGTTATCGGAGGCATTTAATGCTCTGTCTTTGAGACACGCTTGCATTCTATTCATCCTTGATAAGTTTGACACATTAAGTGTCATGCCATGGTACGTTTTACATTCACCCTTCATAACATCCTACAACTCTTTGAAATGAAAAATATTCCTTGAGATTTGCTCTTTTGAATTTGAAATGTAACAGAGAATTTTATTTCTAGCCTTTTCTGTTTTGATAATCTTGAGGATCATTTTTGCAATGTAGGTATCCTCAGTTGATTCAACGTATATTACCAGAGACTCGAAATTACTTTGAGAGAGCATTGACAACTAGACAGATTCATGTGGATCTAAGACAGTAAGTGTGTTTTTTACAGCGGTTCTTTGGTACTGATATTTGACCAGCTAGCGACCCCATGAGAATGTACATGTACAGAAGTAGATGAGCCCAATTTGTTGTGTTCTTGCTCTGGATTATCACCAATGTGTTTACCCTTTGTAGTGCCAATGGCATAAAATGTTGTACCACTTGACACGGCTGATACCTTATCTTCTTAGGTAACTCTGGACTTGTTGCTGCTCAATTATCCGGATTCAACTGTCATGAAGGAAAATTATGCAGTATAATCTTTCATCATTTTTGTTTCGTTTTTGTTTGCTTTTTCATGTTTTTTATCGTGCTGTAGTATTGTGGTGATGAACCTTATGGTTCTTGACAACCGTTCTCAGTTTCTTTTTTCCTTATTATTATTATTATTATTATTATTATTATTATTANATTTATACGACTCCCCACTTAAATGGGGGGAAAAGAATATGAATTGCCCATGATATGCCATGCTAATCTCGAACACAACTAACAAAAACTAGTTTATTAAACAAGCCATGTCATGTTTGTTGGCGAACAATTCATTTTCTATTATTTTTGTTTTTACTTTTTATATGCTTAAATGAAACACCAACCCGAACTTGTTCGCGAATGAGCATTTCATATTCACGAAGCATTTAGGTTTATTAAATGATTCGAGCATTTCATATTCACGAAGCATTTAGGTTATTAGGTTTATTAAATGATTCGAGCCGTGTTTAAGCCGAAACTTTTGTTCGCTTATTAAATGAACACGATTTCATGATACTCCAATTGACACGAACCTCCTTTCGCTCATACCAAAATATGGCAAATTAAGGGGGTGATTGGATATAAACAAAATCAATTTTAATTTTTATTGGTTAAATTAAGTTAATTTTGAATAAAGTTGATTGAATGGAGAATTAAGTGAGATTTTAAGTTTATATTTAAATAATATTTAAAAATGTAATAAATAAAGTTAATATGATGTAAAAGTAGGAGAGAAGTTGAAAATGATAGGTAATTAAAAATATTTAAGTGAATGAAAATGATGAGTTAAGTTTGATGTAAGAAAAAAAATATCATCAAAACCGATTTTAAGCTATATTCAAATCCTATTGCCCGGTTACTGTGAACGTGTGTTGTTTTTTAACAAAAACCACAAAACTCGCGTTACTCCCTAGCGTTTTTGTTTTTTTAACAACACCACAGTTGGACTCTTATCTTTGAAACGCAACCAGTTCGACTCATATAATGGCAGCTCAGCTTTCCGGTGGGCTGGCCCCGTTCACACTCGCCGGAAGTTCTCTCCACAGCCGTAGCATTCGTTTTCCGTCCACAACTCTATCCGCTGCTCACCCTTCCACCTCTTCGCCCCTCATCCAGGCAAGACGCCTTGAATTTACTAAACCTATACCTGTTTACTGCCTCAAGTGTACTCGTTTGCAGCTGATATGCTTGAAATCACTTTGTTTTCTCGATAATACCGCATCTAGTATTTCTGTTTAGAAGTTGTCAATTTTATCTTTCGCCTGTTATAGTTTTTGGAAGATAAGTTTTGAGCCAAGGTTATCTGTTAAGATATAATGTTATTCTGGAAATTTGAAAAATGAATGTGTGTTGTGTAGCTTTCAAGTATATAAAATGTGAAAAATTTGATGAAGAAATGGATAAACATTTCGTTCAGAATTAAATTTAGCCTAGGAGATGCTGGGAAACTGACATGGAGTTTGTTTTTGTTAAGATCCTCTGTCGTGTGGAGTGATTATATTTTCAGGAAATTGCTTTGCAGATTGTTGGTGGAAAGAATTTCAAACGGAATGAGTGCTCGAAAATAAGCAGCACTTTGGACGTTGACTCTGAAGATTTTGATTGGGTAGAATTGGAATCTGATCTTAATTATTGGACGAAAGCAATACGCCCAGTTCAGGTAGGAATAAGGTGTGGACTTCACTACTCATCTTTTCCAATGGTGGATTAGTTGTGCTTATCTTCTGTTGATTGTGATTTTTGCTTTTGTACTCTTAATATGATGCAATTAAATAGTGGTATCCTGGTCACATTGCCAAAACTGAAAAGGAGCTCAAGGACCAGCTAAAATTGATGGATGTTGTGATTGAAGTTCGAGACGCTAGGATACCGATGTCCACTACCCATCCGCTGGTTAGAATCTCTTTGGTTCGTTTGTCTTAGGATCTAAATACTGTTATTTGATGAGATATATTATACTTGATATCTTTGCTTCTGATTTATATCTTTGCATTGGTGAAGATCTTGTTTATGGAAATCATTTATATTCTGGGTGAACTTGGAACATATGGCTGTTTATTCATATTAAGTAATAACATAATGCTTATTAAATGTAGAGCCTTCAGATTCATAGGTCATGCTTTTGTTGGAAAAGAAGGTGCCTGTGTTTTTTCATATTATGGAGTTAGGGCTTCAGATAGCTTAATGCTATATATTTGTGCTTTTAATACAGAGGAAAAACACCCTGGCCCCTTTTTATTATTAATTCCTTATTTTGTATTTTGTTTTGGAATTTATCTTGGTCATGATTTTATGAATAGATGGATTTGTGGCTGGGAAATAGGAAGAGGATTATTGTTTTAAATCGCGAAGACATGATTTCTATAGCTGACCGAAATGCTTGGGCTAGCTACTATGCCAGGCTGGGAACAAAAGTGGTTTTCTCAAATGGACAACTGGGAATGGTACTTAAGATACCTCTACGTACTTGTCAGTTTATATCATCGAAACTGTATAACTATTACTTGGGAAAATTCAGGGGACCATGAAGCTAAGCAGGTTAGCCAAGGAATTGGCAGGTGATGTAAACATCAAGCGCAAATCCAGAGGATTGCTTCCTCGTCCTGTGAGTTTCTTGTGATTGATTTTATTCTGTTGTAAAAATGGCTCAGGATATTCTATGACGCTTTACAAGGTCATTTATGTTGTTAAGTTCCTTAGGACAGTTTTTGTTTGGTTTCTCATCACCTTCTTTTGATTCCCTTATTCTATTTCTTTTTTTAAAAGATTCCTGTCAGTGATACTGTTCTGTTTTTGTGTGTTCATGTACTTCAATTTTTATTTTGAATTCTCGTCTGTTTATTAATTCATTTGATTAGTGGCTGATGCGAGTAAAATATTCCATCTGTTTCTCTATTCTGTTTAATCTGATAGAAGTAAAGAAATCCAAATCTTATCGATAATATATAATAGAGACAGAAAGTATTAAAACTTCTCCAGCACAAATTCAATTTCTGCCAGCAAGTTAATAGCCTAATCTATTACAAAATAAATCTCTGTGTTCTTGTTCTCTCGACAATCCTATCTTACATGCTAAACTGTTTCTAATATAAAATGGTCATACGAAATAGAAGAGGCAAGAAAGTGAATAGCATATGAGGAAAAATCAGTCGAAATCTCTAAGATAAAGAAATTCTAAATTGATATCCTCCCATTCTTTCAACTCCATCATAATCACCATACGAGTGGCTTCATGCATGCTTTACAGGTTCGTGCTGGCATAGTTGGTTATCCAAACGTTGGTAAATCGTCTCTGATAAACCGGCTGCTCAAGCGTCGAATGTGTCCCGCAGCTCCAAGACCAGGTGTCACAAGAGAGCTAAAGTATGCACTCTTATTTCAGTTTTATGTGTGATTATCACAGAGTAAAACAAAAGCAAGCCCTTGTTCTTTGAAGTTTCAGCATCTATTACTTAATCTGAGAATATCTATATTGAATATTCATAAAGATGAATATCTATATCTATATCTATATATATATATATATATATATATTAAATATCTGCCTAAGTGAAGTAAATTGACCATGAGGCCTATTTTCATTTGTAAGTTTGGAATTCTGTTCTGGTACTTATGGTAATTCTGGCAAGAGGGTCGTGTTCATTTGTGATTTTAAGTGAAGAATGACATTTGATCACATTATATATTAAAATTATATTTTTCAGTATTAATTCACCGAATGAAAAAGATGCCAAGATCTTCTCCATAAAAACACGATGTTGTTAGATATAATTGCAGGCTAATTTACATGTTCTTGAAACTCTTATGTTGTTTTGTGCCTATAAAAGGTGGATTCGTTTCGGGACAGACTTAGAATTGCTGGATTCTCCTGGGATAATCCCGATGAGGATCAATGATCAGTCTGCAGCTATTAAACTTGCCATATGTGACGACATTGGCGAGAGAGCGTATGATTTTTCTGATGTAGCAGGGATTCTTGTGCAGATTTTGGCACGGCTTCCGGCAGTCGGTATGTTTGTGTATCTATCTGTCTTCCATTATATTGCTGTTCTTTGTCTAGTAACTAAAGGTGGCAGTGCAATTTTCTCTGGTTGCCTTCTTGAAAACACCTCATTCAATCTTTTTTTTCTTCCCCTAAATTCGAGCATAAGACAAGGTCATGCTAAGATCTCTGATTGTAACTCCTCATTCACTAGTAAGACTTGGCTGGGAAGTATCCTATTGGAAATTTTGACACGGCATAATCATTAACAGATGAAATTTTTTGTGTCGAGCCAATTGAATCCCTCTCCTGTGGTCTATCCGGGCTTGAATAGTCGAATCGTATTATCTTTTTATTTTTATTTTTTATTTTTTTTTGGGTTTGGGATAACACAGGTAATCAAGCTCTTCAACGCCGCTACAAGATTGATACTGATGGTCAGATTGGGAAAATGTAAGTTTTCATTTATTGCCCTATCTGATGCTTATCGTGTTATCTTTAGTTACGCTTTTACACTAATTCTTGTATGAGACCCATTTAGTCGTTAGGCTGGTCAACCGGTTATTATTTTCTAACAAAAAGTAGTACTTATGCTATGAAATGTCATACTTTAATTTATGTTACTTTATGCATTTCAGTTTAAAAGTATGCAGATCTAGAGAAAGTATGATTGTCTGATCGTTAAGAATGCTTTTCGTGAAAATTTTGCAGATTTGTTCAGAAGCTCGCTCTTCGACTATTCAATGGGGACACTCACCAAGCAGCATTTCGTATCTTGTCGGATTTTCGTAAAGGAAAATTCGGTTGGGTAGCCATAGAGAGGCCTCCTAAAGTATAGTACCAGATATACTTCGAATTTACAATGTTATAAATGATATGTTACTTTTTCTAGTTTATGTGATGTATAATATAATATAATATGAAGCATGTATTTATATTTTTGCATGTCTGTGGCTCATTTGGATACACGAGTCCTAATTTGAACCCACTCACTTACAAAACGAGTTCAAGTCTGCTGGGTCTTGAAGAAGCCTTTTGGGGTACAATACAAATGTGTATCACGCCTAAGATTGAAAAAAATTGATTGGGTGCAAATAAAATATAATGATTAAAGTTAAAGTTAGGTGTGATGTAAAAATAGTAAAATAATGATTGTAAATAATTGGTAGCTAAAAATATGAGTGAATGAATAATGAATTTTGTTGAAAATTGTATAGTAATGATTATTAGATATTATTAAAGTATATATTGATAATAGTAAGTAGAATTAAGTTGGACTAGTTTTTAGTTGAATTTTGAATTAAAAATTTGTATTCAAATTTAGTTCGGTAAAAATATAAAATTATTAGTCTAGTTAAAATAATAATTACAAAAATCCATAAAAAATTTACCTCTAGTAAAGAAAATAAAATTATTTCCAGGATTATAATGTATTCACTCTTGATTCTTAAAATAATTTTGCTATATTAACTTGGATTTCTAAAATTTTTTAAAGTGTGTGGCATTCATTTAATATTTTAAAAACTCCTAAAAATTTATGAGATATGCAATGTATTTATCACTTGGGTTTGTTTAAATGTTTCAAAAATTATTGAGATTTTAAATATAATATCTAAACAAAATTAATCATCAAATTCCATCTCGATGCATAAGTTTTTCAATGATTTCGATTAAATAAAAATCTTTAAGTACTCTCAATTTTTTAAAAATAAAAATAAAATACCATCACTTAAGTCCAAACGATTACATACTTCTCCAATTAACGAGGGATCTCACAAAAACACCACGTCAATAATAATAAAAAAAAAAAATCACATCTTGTCATTATTTTCATCAAAATATCAGTTTTGTCTATTACAATCAGGAAAAAAACGACAATTTTACAATTGAAAATGATATTTTTCCACATACAAAAAAGAAAAAAAAAAAGAGGTTCTATTTTAGCAAACGACCATAATTTGATTTGTACTTGCTCAATTTTCCTCTCAACTTCACTTTACCCTTTTCCCTATCTCATTTTCACCATGTTTCCTGCTCAGGCGCTCTTCAACCTTGTCCAGTTTCGCATGGATTAAGCTCATGATTTCAAAACTAAGTTTGTTAAAGTGTTGAAAATAGGAAAAAAAAAAAAAAAAAAATCTTTTTTATTTTCTCTGTGAAAAAATGATGTGGAGCGAGTGGTATGATGTTGAACAGCGTCAGGACGAGGAGGACGAGTCGTATGAGAGGTCTCATGTTAATTTCGATGTCTTTTCTATGCAATCAAACCCTAAGGTGGACCCCTTTTTCGCTCTCCTTTTGTTTAATTTTTTTGTTGATTTTTTGCTTTTATTTTCGTTTATGTGAAAAATTGATATGCTATCTTGGTGTGTAGGATTATTACAAAATTTTAGAAGTGGGTTACGATGCCTCTGATGAAGTAATTCGATCCAATTACATTCGTCTTGCTTTGGTACATGAACAGCTCTGTGCTTGCTATTTTTAGTTTTAATAATAATATGGTTTTTTGTGTTGCTACTCTTTTAATGTTTTATTTTTTTTTATTTTTTTGGTTGTTGTGTTGATTCAGAAATGGCATCCTGATAAGAAGAAGAATGAGGACAGTGCTACTTCTAAGTTCCAAGAAATAAATGAGGCTTATAAGGGTAATGTTGTTTTCTTGTTTATTTATTGTTTGTTTGATCGAACTATTTACTCCTTTATTGCTGGTGGTTGCTGAATTTAGTATCTGAAAACTCGACGATTCTATATGACCTTCAAGAGATGAGCTTTTGAGAACTTCGAATGTGTCGAGTGATCCGTATTATGATTAAGCCTAATGGTAAAAAATGCATCTTGTGAAACAAAGTATGCAGTATCTATATAATGCTGGATGAGAAACTAAAGAAAATCATAAATAAATTTTGTATAAAGATTGAGAAATGGCAACATGAGGGAATGTTATGATGATGTAGTTGCTTTGTAGTTAAAACTTAAAGGACTTCTATTCGTTTTACTAACTAACTTATAACCGTTAATACCTATTTATAAAAGATTGTGTGGCAGCTCCATGTTTGAAGTTCTACCAACAAATTTACCATTAGCTGTTGGACCTTGATAGATATCTATTGAAAATTGAATCTTTTAGCAGGCTGTGATAAAATGAGGAAATCCATACTTTGAAGGAACCTCAGAGAGTTTTGTTAGTTTGATATGTAGCCATAAGATTTTAATGTGTATTTACTTGTATTTGTGGTGGAAATGTTATGGAGTTGAGGAGTGGGCAAAGTTTGAATCTTTTAGCTTATTTCAAGATGCTCCAAAAGATTCCTTCATAGAATCTCACAAATCTTTTTTCTTCAAACCAGTATTGAGTGACCCCTTAAAACGGCATGAATATGACAAGAATGGGATGCTTTTTTCATATGATGGCAATATCTCGGTGAGTCACATTCTTCTTTGTTTACATCTTCCGTTTTAAGTTTAAAATTTAAAATCATTCAAAGAATTAAAAAAAAAAAAAAGAATCACTGATATGCTGGATGCAGGAGTACCTCAGCCTTTATAAGAGCCTCATTCTTACATGCAATGGCCTCGGAATGAAATGTTCGATATGGTGATCTTTTATTTCGGCTGCCTTCTTTGAATATGTAGCAAGCATTTTTTTGTGGACTTGCAATGCATTGCAATATCTGAACTTTCAGCAGTTGGACATGTAGAAAGGCTGAAGTCGGAGAGGCATTTTGTTCTTCGTTTTGGTTGTAAATTTGATATGATACATGGTTAGGCACTTTCTACTGTCCTTGCCCCATTGTATAAGTTGAAAACTGATGGTTGTCTTGTTGTATTAGTAAATCGTAAGAAGCATTTTGAATAAATAATCATTGGCAGCTTCCTTGTGAAAAATAGTCTTTCAGTGTTTTTTCAAGTCTCAACCTTTAAATAGATTGTTGAATTCTGCTTCTGGATGGATTTCAGCTAATGAATTAATGCATAGATAGTTTTTTTTACTTTATTTACCACTTTTATGAATAGTTAAAAAAGGGTCTTAAACTACATACTTTTCCTTCTATTATTTGACTGATGCAACAAAAGACTCAATCATTACATTACACTATCATATTGTCTTTTCAAATTATTTTAAAAAAATATCATCTAAAAATCCAAATTGCACCCACTAATATTCCAGGACAATGACATTGATAATCCCAAAATACCATAAGATATAATAACAATAAATGCAGCACTTCATAGTTGAAAACAGACATTAACTAACAAAACAAGTTTGATCAAAGTCATTAGCAGAGCAAAAGGTCCCAAAAGGTCAACCTTTTTCCAAATAGAGGCCTGGCCAAGGCATAGGATATGGAAACATTTCATGGTTAGATTGATTATTAACGCAAATAATTCAAACAGCACATTTATCAGTTTCAGGCCTTCCTCTTCTTGTAAGATCTCTTCTTTTGTTTCGGTTCTTCATTAGCGTTAGCAGCAGGAGTTGAAGGCACACAGTTTTGTGCCGCCTGAGGCAGCAAACTCACATTGTCTTTTATCGATTTTTCGAATCTGGACACGAACATCACTTCCTTTACAGGACCCATAACACCAATCATCTTTTGATACTGTATCCAAAAAAGGGAAAAAAAAAAAGAAGATGAAGGTGAGATGGGGGTGGGAAGTTGTTAAATCGAGTTTATGTAAGAACTGTTTCAAGTAAAATCGAGTTTATGCAGGTTGCAGTTTTACGGAATATGATCTGTGTAAACAAATGAAAATTAATGTACCAAAACTGAAATTTAGTTTAATAAAACTCACAGCTGCAACTTGTCCCTCAGCAAACTCCAACTTCCTGACCAGCTCATAGTTCTCCTCCATCAACTCCTGAAGCTACAAAAAGGAAGAAAAATAGAAGATAAATAAAAAAAATCAATCTACAACAGTATTGCTATACCACTAAAAAGCAACAGATCCAAAAGAAATCAACCATACCTTCTTCTGTGAGTTGAAGTACAAGTTTTTGTAGTGGACATCGGGAGAAGGGCCATCATCCAACCTTTCATGAACCTGTTTGGAAAATCGAACCTTCAATGCACCAAGTTTGTTTTTTGTAATTTATCCAAGCTATTACGCTAAACAACAAATTGAAATGAGAACGGATAAAAGCTAGCTATAGCTTCCAAACGATGCTCAGACTAAAACCAAATTTTGTGGCAGGCCAATGATTTATGAAGATTTGTCACTAAGATTTAGTTGGCATAAGCATCTAATGCATGAGTACATCACAAAATTCATAGGAAATAAGCAAAAACCAATACATAGTTCACGAGCTCATATCTAGTAAAGGTCACATACTCAGTAAATAAACACAACAGCCATTTTTGGTCACTTAAAGACAACTTTCGCTACACATCTAGAGACAGATAGATTGTCTACAAATAGAAAGAAAAAAAATATAATCTATAACAATATATATTGCTACACCACATACAAAAACAACACTTCAAAAAACATCAATCATACCTTCTTCTGTGAACTAAAGTACAAGCTTTTGTAGCGGACATCAGGAGAAGGATCCTCATCCAACCTTTCAGAAACCTGTTAGAAAATCTAATGAGTCACATATTTTATGACTGAAAAACTAAAATCATGAGGTCAACCTACACAGAAAGACCCCATTATCATTCGAGATCACATATTATATTACTCCCTGTGACATTTGCTTCCATCATACAAATTAATCGTAGGTGTTTGTAAATCTTTGAGCAGATGTCCAATTTTTTTAAAAGAAAGGGTACTTTGAAAAAAAAAAAAACAAAGATCACAATTTCGAAACACCAAAATGCAACCTTATGCTTGAATTCATCCACAGCTTGTACAAAATAGCTAACTATTTCGTTCAAGCTTTTCTTGTTCGCGTCATTCGGAGGACCAATCTTCTCCACCTGAGTGTCAACTTCCGAGCTCTTCTCATTCACAACCTGCAAAGGACTATTAACTTTCTCAGACTGTAATGGCTCTTGTTTTTCGATTTGATCAAGATCAACATGTTCAACAGTGGGTTTGATCCCATGGCTCTTGAGACGTCCGGATCGTCTCAAGGGCTCATTTGATGCTTTTCGTTTTTTAGGTAAGCCCTTGGAGTTGTTTTCAGTATTCAAACCCTCTACAGGAGTTTGTGACGGCAATTTCTCATCGGACAACGATATCCCGCGATAAAGATTTGAGCTTTTTGCCTACAATTAGTAGCACAGTGTGAATATGTGATTAGATTTCCAGTTAGAGGCTCATCAATTGTTACAGGCTATTGTAGTCAGTCATTGTTTGAGCAATTACATCAGAGCTACAAACTACACAAGTCTACATCATTTTTCTTTTTTCTTTTAAGGAATATAATAACAAGGCTTAAGATGTCTAGATTTTAGCAGAGGATGAGAACATAAGCATTTGCTCTGAGAAGAAAAAAAAAATCAAGAAAGTAAGAAATATCAGTCAAAGAAGCCAACACCCCACTCACATAACTAAAGATTTCCATACACAAGGGTCCTCATTCATACAACTAAAATTAATAAAAACATGGCAAATAGATATACTGATAGGTAAAGGACAACTTGAAGCAGG